AACCCCCCAACCTGCTTCCTCAGATAAAGCTGCTCCCAGGGGAGCTGCCAGGAGAGAGAGGTTAAATCCCCAGGGGGCCCCAGACCAGAGGGGGCTGCTGGCCTGTGCTCCCTGGCGGCGGAGCACAGGGAAAACCCATTGTGGGCTCTGCCCTGCATCTCCCATGCACCAGAGCTAAAAAAAGCTGTGAAACACATGCTTGTTTCCCGAGTCCCAAAGACAGTAACTAGTGTGGGTAGCTACAACCCATTTCACTCGGTGCCAGCCCTGCACCCCAAGCCCAGTATGAAATGCTGTAGGCCTAAGGACTTACAGGCCCCCCAGCTCAGCTCCTTTGCAGCCTGGCACAACAGCCCAGCTCAGTGCCTCAGTCACCCACCACCACGTGGAGGAAGAAATGATGCACTTACCTCCCTGTGCTAACGGCCCGGCCACACGTGCCCTGCGGGGGAGGGAGGAAAGGATACCCCACGCTCAGCAACCAGCAGCATTTTAGAACAGCCCTTGAAATCCAGGAGAGCTTAGCAGCAGGAGGCAATAAAAGCCCAGAGTCCTTAATTAATTAGCTTGCATTTGTGCAGCAGGAGAAGGGTCCCCAGTAAGGCTGCCCATGGCACAGCCCCCTGCTACGCTGCTGCCTGCTCCCCCCAGCATGCTGCCCACCGCTTGGGGCATTGCTCCGCATCTCATAGGGAAACTTTCAGCCCATTTTGTTTCCACGGCAGGTAGCGGGTGACCTCACACTGCAGGAGCCCAGGGGCAGTCGAAAAGCACCAGCAAAGGCTCTTGGTCGAACAGTGTGGCATGAGACCATCTCCCATCATGAACGCACATGCCCATTTGCAGGGACCCAAGCATGCCAACGCCGGCTGTGGCGGGACGGTGCTGTGCTCCCATGCCTGGCTGCCCCGCTTAGATTTCAGCAATAAAACCAACTACCACCCTTTGCAACACAAGGGCTTGTTTATCTGCCTCAGACAGTGGTTGAAACTGGTTTCAGTGATTGAGATCAATCACCGCTTCGAGCAGGCCTGGGCAGCCAGAAAGGACCAAAGGCGTGGGGGCAGTGAGGAAAGACTCGCTGACCTGAAGGGCAGAGGACCAGGAAAGCATCCACTCACAACCCCAGCTCCCCAGGCAGAAACCAGGCAGCTTCACTGGGACGGCTCACAGACCCACAGAGATGTCTGGGTAAAGGCCAAGCCACGCGCATTGCCCAGTCTTGCAGTGTTTTCCCCAAATTGCCCCAGCAGCATGAAGGAATTTCCCCCTTCCCCCAGAATTCGGGGCTGGGACAAGCTTAACTTCCAAGGGTAAGGGATGAGCCTGGGGATGCAGCTTCCTGCCTGGCAAGCACAGCCCTGGCACAGGAGCTGTCTCTGCTCAGCTACTACATCCCCACAGCACACCTCCTCATGCGAGGGCAAGGCTAGCCAGGGGCTCTACAGAAGAGCAGCAACTACCTGCACTTATGTTCTCTGGCTGGGTTTTAACATGCCCGAGTAGGTAGCTCAGTTTCTAAGCCAGAGTACGTGATGCCAGCTCTGCTCCTCCGGACAGCAGCAAATACCCCTTAGATACTTCTCCAGCCTCCCTGGCATTCAGCACCGTGGGGAGGGCTGTGCTTTGCAGAAGGTTTAGGCACTTGGCACTTTCAAAACAAAGTTTCATCAGCTCCGGGGAGCAGACAGGCCAGAGCCAGGACTGGTGGCACACAGCCAGCGCATCATCTCTGGTTACTGCGGCCTCAGGGGAGATCAGCTGGGTGAGTCCTTCAGAGCTGCTAATCCCCATTCCAGCCCACACCACTGGGGAAGAAACACTACACAGCTTCCTTGGCAGCCTGCACCATGTTTACCTGCTGGAGGCCACAGGTAGTTAGCAGGTAGCAAGGCGTGCAGGATGGAGGTGATTCGTCTTCCTCCTTCTCTACAATCACCGCAGAGACCTCCACCCCACTCATGCTGCAGCTGCTGCAAGAACAAACGTGAGACGAGGAAAGTTGGTTTCAGATTTTTATTTCTTTGTACTCTTTTAAGCAGGAGTGACTGAAATAGAAACCATGGTGAGTCCCGTCAGGGGGAGTAACTTGATCAAGACAGGGCAGGCAGTCGGCCCTGCCCCGTGCCAACCTGTATAAACATCAGCCGTCACTGTTTAGTAACTAGACGGTTTTCAAACAAGTCCATGAGCGGTCATAGACTACATATAACAACATGCCAGTTCACAAAAGGAAACAACTTATGTGTACTTCTTGATTTCATCATACAGGACTAAGACAAAAGCACCACCCATTCCTCGGAGTACATTAGACCATGCACCTTTGAAAAACGCCTTGGAGCCCTCGTCCCGGGCAATCTTCCGCCAGCAGTCAATAGTGCCGGTGTACATTATGTCAGCTGCGGGAGACAGACAGCATTAGGAATCAGATGCCCGTGACGCCCGACATCCAGGTCAGAAATGGCCTAACATATCTGCCAGCTTCATAAGCTCAAGTGCATCCCGTTTCTTGACTGACTTTCTCCAGTATTAGTGCATCAGAGGACAAGATCCCCCAGGAGACATGCTGCTGCTGCACTACCCCTAGGAGACACTGGAAGGGCCGGTTCGAGCAGAAGGCAGCTACTGTTTGCTTTGACAGCAACACTTCCAGACCCAAAAGCTATTGCACAGTCAGCCAGGCCATGCCTGCTACCAGGGATGTCTCTTCTTGGCCGAGAGACACTAGTTTGCAACATCCTTGGGCAAGTTCTGCTGTTCCTACCTACTGACAGATATCTGACCATACACCTTACAGGTGTGCTGCAGAGACTGACCCATCCGTGCACCCTGCCTGACATCCGCTCCTGCAGCCCCTCTCACACCCTGCTGTTTACAAGAGGTGAGGATATCTACATGGCTTGGTGAAAGCCAAGCTACTCGGCCTTCACCTCAGCTCCACCACCAACTGTTGATTCAAGGATGCCCAATACTTCCTACACAAGGTGGTAGAAACTTACTTCCTTTACGGCCAGACTGCATCATCATGCGACGACGAACTGTATCAAAAGGGTAGGAGGTCAAACCGGCAACAGCGGTGACGGTCTGAGCGATCATCCAGCTGACAACAATGTGGGTGTTCTTTGGGTCCGGAAGCATGCCTGCGAGAGAGAGGTTTTGATGAGAACAGCAGGTGAGCCACCAGCATCTGCCAAGATGCAGGCCTGCACTACAGGCCTGCCGCAGCCTGGCATCTCCCTTTTAGTGCCACTTTGGTCAACCTACCCTTCGCAGTGTCGTAGATGCCAAAGTAGGCGGCTCTGTAGATGATGATGCCCTGGACAGAGACACTGAAGCCCTGGTACAGGCCCCTGAGGCCATCCGATCGGAAGATTTTGACCAGGCAGTCACCGAGCCCACTGAACTCCCGGTCAGCCCCGGCTTTACCCACATCCGCTGCCAGGCGGGTTCGGGCAAAGTCAAGGGGGTAGACGAAGCACAGGGAGGTAGCGCCGGCGGCACCCCCGGATGCCAGGTTACCGGCGAAGTACCGCCAGAACTGGGTTCGCTTGTCCACGCCGCCCAGGAAGATCTGCTTGTACTTATCCTTGAAGGCGAAGTTGAGGGCCTGGGTGGGGAAGTACCGGATCACATTGGCCAGGTTGCCGCGCCAGAAGGAGAGGACGCCCTGCTCCCGGGGGATGCGCACCACGCAGTCGATGATGCCCTTGTACTGCTTGTCGGCGGCGATCTGCTTGCTGGCGTGCTGCACCTGCGGGGGCCGAGACGCCGCCGTCAGCGCCGTTCTCCCGCGACCCCCT